TCAACTAATCTTCAACAAAGCAGGAAAAAAAATGCAATGGATAAAAGACAGTCTCTTCAATAAATGGTGCTGGGAAAATTGGACAGCTATATACAGAAGAATGCAACTTGACCATTCTCTTATACCATACACAAAGATAAACTCTAAATGGATGAAAGACCTCAATGCAAGACAGGAATTCATCAAAATCCTGAGGAGAACATAGGCAGCAACCTCTTCGACCTTGGCTGCAGCAACTCCTCTCAAGACACGTCTCCAAAGGCAAGGGAAATAAAAGAGAAAATGAACTTTTGGGACTTCATCAAGATAAAAACTTCTGCAGAGCAAAGGAAACAGTTAACAAAACAGGCAAAAGAGGCAACCCACGGAATGGGAGAAGATATTTGCATATGACATTACAGATAAAGGGCTGGTATCCAAGATCTATAAAGACCTTCTCAAACTCAACACCCCAAAAACAAATAATCAAGTCAAAAAATGAGCAGAAGACATGAACAGACACTTCTCCAAAGAAGACATACAAATGACTAACAAACACATGAACAAATGTTCAATATCATTAGCCATCAGGGAAATTCAAATGAAAACCACATTGAGATACCACCTTACACCAGTTAGAATGACAAAAATTGACAAGGCAAGAAACAACAAATGTTGGCGAGGTTGTGGAGAAAGGGGAACCCTCTTACATTGGTTGTGGGAATGCAAGTTGGTATTGGTGATATTTTAAAATTTCCTTCTTTTACTGATTTCTAATTTAATTCCATTATAATCAGAAAGCATATTTTGTATGATTTCCATCCTTTTAATTTATTGAGACTTGTTTTACAACCTAAAATACGGTCTATCCTGGAGAATAATCTTTGTGCACCAGAATAACCTATTTGCACCTGAAAAGAACATGTACTTTGCATCGTTGGGTGGAATTTTGTATAGATGTCTATTAGGTCTAGTTAGTTAATAGTGTCATTCAATTTCTCCGATAGCCTTTCCCTTCTGCACAATTTTCCTGTAAATTATTGAATATGGAGTATTGAAGTTGCCAACTGTTGTTTTTAAAATTTTGTATTTCTCCTGTCAAATCTGTCAGGTTTTGCTTCATGTATTTCAGGACTCTATTGTTAATGCATATGTGCTTACAATTGCTATGTGTTCCTGGTGGATCGAACTTAAAAAAAATCATTATAAAAATGTCCTTCATGTCTAGTAACAACTTTTGTCTTGATGTCTATTTCATCTGACATTACTATAGCTGCTCCACCTCTCTTTTGGTTTCTGTTATATGGCATATATTTTTCCATACTTATGTTCAACCTAATTGTGTCTTTGAATCTAAGGTGTGTCTCTTGTATATAGCATTTAATTGGAATACATCTTAAAAATCCATTTTGCCAATCTCTGCCTTATCATTAGTGTCCAGTCCATATACATTTAATGTAGCTACAAATAAGATGGGTTTATGTCTGATATTTTGCAGTTTTCTATATTGTATGTCTTTGTTATTCTATTTGTCCATTACTGCTCTCTTATGTTACATGAATGTTTCCTTTCATGCCATTTTATTTATTTTTCTTTTATACCACTTTAATTACATTTTTATTTTTTATTATTTTTTATTGTTTTTAAATTTATTAACAATATTATTTTATTATTAATATTGTTATAGTATTATATATAATTCTGTGTTGATGGTATTTTTCTTTCATTTCTCTGAAGATGTCATCCCACTTGCTGTCTTCTGGCCTCTATGGTTTCTGATGAGGAATTTTATTGAAGATTCCCTTTTCAGAATGAATTCCTTGTCTTTGGCTGATTTCAAGATTTTCTCTTGATCTTTGCCTTTTGGCATTTTGTTAATGATGTGTCTAGTTTTGGATCTTTTTTAGTTTATCCTTTTTGGATGTGTAATGTTTTTCATCAAATTTTTGGTTTTCATCCAATATACTTCCCAAAAATTCTTTGTGTAGCTTTCTCTTTCTCTATCTCTTCCCCTTATATGACTTCCATTATGCACATTTTGGTATGACTGATGATGTTTCAAAAGTGTCTGAAGCTCTATTCATTTTTCTTCACTTGTTATCATTTTGTTCCACAGAGTAGATAATTTTAATTGACCTATCTTTAAGTTTGTGGATCATTTCTTCTGTCAGACCAAATGTTCTGTTGAGCCCTTTGAGTGATATTTTCATTTTAGTTATTATGCGTTTTTCTGCTTTGGAATTTCTACTTGATTCTTTTTAATTGTTTCTATGTCTTTATTGGTATTCTTTCTCATGAAACATTGCTCCCATATTTTCCTTTAGATTTTTTAGACATGGTTTCTTCAGTTCTTTGAGCATACTTATCATAGATAATTTAAAGGTTTTTTTTTTTCCAGTAAGTTCAATAGCTAGGCTTCCTTTGATGCAACTTTTATTGCTTTTCTCCCCCAGTGTTTAGGTCACATTTTTCTGTTTCTTTGCATATCTCATTATTTCTTTTGTTAAAAACTGCATATTTAAAATAATATAATGTAGCAATGTTGGAAATCAGATCCTCCCAGGGGTTGGTTTTTGTTGTTGTTTTCATTAGTCTATTTGGTGGCTTTCCTGAACTAACTGTGTAGAGTATTCATGTTTGTCCTGTGTGAGCATTGATATCTCTGCTCTGTTAGCTTAGTGGTCATTAAATGATTAGACATAGATTTCCTTACCTGCTTTGAGCCAAGAAATTTCTCAGTCTTTGTTGAGAAGCTGTGTGTGTGTGTGCGTGTGTGTGTGTGTGTGTTGGGGTAAGTCTTTAAGGCCTTGGAAGACAGGTTGCAACTCTACCTTAGCTATCATTTACTGCTTGCAGACTGCTTCAGGTCAGCCAGCGGTGGGAGATTAGAGTACTGGCAGGTCTTCCTTGGCAGGCATATGTCTCTGCAAATGCACATGGACTTCTTTATTTCCAGGTACTGCCATAGTTTCAAGGTCCCCAGTGGACATCTTACTCCTCAGTTTTTTCTATTAAGTATTTTGGTAAGCCTCTTGTTTTCCCCAACTGTTACCACTGCTTTAGGCAAAGGCCATGTTATATGCCACTGATTATTATTATTTTTTTAGAGAAATTAAAGAATTTATTTATTTTATTTTATTTTATTATTGTTATGTTAATCACCATACATTACATCATTAGTTTTTGATATAGTGTTCCATGATTCATTGTTTGCATATAACACCCAGTGCTCCATGCAGTATGTGCACTCTGATTATTGTGACAAACATCCAGGAACAACTTTTCACAGTTACTGAGCTCCGAGGTCAATAAGGAGGGCCTTGCCAGTGAGCTGCTAGCCAGGGAGCTGCCAGCCAAATCAATCACAATGTTCTGGGAATGGGGCTTTTTTGGGGAACTCCAATCTCAGGTTTCCTCCTCTTGTGGTTGTTAGGTTGGTGTTTCTCACAGGTACTGTGGTTGCAAGGTTATTTCATTTAAAGGCTACTGTGGAGATAGAGCAAGGTGGATGGGAACAGGGCAAATTATAACAAATTATAACAAAACTCACTGTTCTTACCAAGAGTCAGACATTTTTTCTTGCATAAATGTTCCCTGGATTGTTGCCAATTTTGAGTAATTTCCAGAGTTATGAAACGTTAATTTTGGCAACTTTTGCCAGTGTTCTCACATATATTTTATGGAGGAATAGATTTTTTAAAAAATGATTTTATTTATTTATTTGACAGAGAGAGACACAGTGAGAAAGGGAACACAAACAGAAGGAGCGGGAGAGGGAGAAGCAGGCTTCCCGCCAAGCAGGGAGCCTGATGCGGGGCCCAATCCCAGGACCCCAGGATCATGACCTGAGCCGAAGGCAGACGCTTAACAACTGAGCCACCCAGGTGCCCCTGGAGGAATAGATTTTTAGAGAGCCTTATTTTTCTATTCCAGAAGTACTTTCTTCAGTGTCCCCTAAAATCTTTATTTTCTGAAGGGATATGAAGATCTCAAACTTTGGAAACAAAAATTTATAACTAAATTTGAATTTCAGAGTCGATAGCATTTGGTGTCCCCATATTGCTGGTATGACCCATGAAACCTCTTCAGTCTATGTATTTCCTCTATTAATCTCCTGGGTGATGCAAGTCTAAAAGACATTGAGGTGCATGTATCCCTTCAAATCAGTACTTTTTTATCTTTTGGGTAAATTCCTAGTAGTGCAATTGCTGGATCATAGGGTAGTTCTATTTTTCACTTTTTGAGGAATCTCCATACTGTTTTCCAGAGTGGCTGTACCAGTTTGCATTCCCACCAACAGTGTAGGAGGGTTCCCCCTTCTCTGCAGCCTTGCCAATACCTGTTGTTTCCTGTGTTGTTAATTTTAGCCATTCTGACTGGTGTGAGGTGGTATCTTGTTGTGGTTTTGATTTGTATTTCCCTGATGCTGAGTGATGTTGAGCATCTTTTCATGTATCTGTTGGCCATCTGTACGTCTTCTTTGGAAAAATGTCTATTCACGTCTTCAGTCCATTTTTTAACTGGATTATTTGTTTTTTGGGTGTTGAGTTTTTTAAGTTCTTTGTATATTTTAGATACTAACCCTTTATCAGGTATGTCACTTGCAAACATCTTCTCCCATTCCATAGGTTACCTTCTAGTTGTATTGATTGTTTCCCTCTCAGTGCAGAAGCTTTTTATCTTGGTGAAGTCCCAATAGTTTATTTTTTGCTTTTGTTCCCTTGCCTCAGGAAACATATCTAGTAAGAAGTTGCTACACTGATGGCAAAGAGGTTACTGCCTGTGTTCTCCTCTAGGATTTTGAGTGTTTCCCTGCAGAGAGGGTTCTTTTTTAAATTTTATTATGTTATGTTAGTCACCATACAATACATCATTAGTTTTTGATGTAGTGATCCATGACTCATTGTTTTCATAAAACACGCACTGCTCCATGCAGTATGTGCCCTCCTTAATACCCATCACCCGGCTCTTAACAGAAGCTGTATTATCCTGATCAGCCAGCCAGAAACAAAATTACTCACTCTTTTCACTGTATTCTGGATGACTCAATGCTACTACAATCCATCTGATAGTTATGCATGCACAGATCACTTCCGTGATGGTGCTGAAGAGTAAATATTGTAAAAGCATACTACCAGCCATCTGAATTAAAAAGAAAAGAAACATTTCTCATATTAATTAGCCATTTAAAAATTATACAAGAACAATCTTAGTAAAAGGGAATAAATACCATTCATCATATCAGTCTCACACCACCATGATTATTTTTGTGTATTTTTCATAAGAACAAAATACATTTTAAATTTATCAAGTACTTATATATGTACCTTGCATTTTGTTAAGTACTACTTCTAGCGACAACCCTACAAGTTGGATACTTTTATTTCTCTTCTACACGTGACAAGATTGAAAAGCAGAGAGCTTACCTTAGTACCTTACCTTAGTACCGTGGTCTGGGTGGAATTCTTCAGGGTTTGGCACTGAATGCATCTTTTCTCTCTTTGTACTTTCTCTTTTGGTAAGACTGATTGCATGATTTGTGTTTTATGCTTTCCCATTTAGTGCACATATAATTTGCATGTTCTATTTTCTTTTGACCTTTGTGTTGTAGGCATTATTACATGTATTAAGTGGAGCCATTCTCCCTCACTTCCCACATTTCTACCATGGCCTGAAGTAGGAGTTTTTTAAAGCCACTTTAAGAGTGGCTTCTAGTGTGTCTCAATGCCCCTTACTTAAAATTCCCCATTTGAGAAGCAGAGATTTATCTAATTGGTGATTTCACCCTTTCTGGGTTCTTTTTTCAGAATCGTTTGTATTTGTGACCCCATTTCTGAGAATTGTCAGGTCCCAGCACAGGGAGACCTATCATTTATTTGTAACTAGGTAGATAAGTTTAATTCATGGAAGGAGGTATCAGCAAGCTCATTTGGTCAAAGATTTAAAACTTGTTCTCCAACTATAGTAATCACAAAAAAGCTGATAGTTTCATCTACACCTGCTTGATTCTTGTATCTTATCTCAGCTGGCTCAGAACATGAAAGGAGAAAAAGGGGTGGCTATTTACTGGCCTGCTATACTAGTTTCCCAGGGCTGCTGTAATAAAGTATTGCATCTGCATGGTTTAACACAACTGAAATTTATTGTCTCACAGTTCTGGAGGGTAAAAATCCAAAAAGAATGCATTGCCATTGGCAAGAGAATTCTCCTTCCAAAGTCTTTAGGGGAGGATTCTTCCTTGCCTCTTTCAGCTTCTGGTAGCCAAGTGTTCTTGGCTTGTAACAGCATAACTACAACCTCTGCCACCATGCTTATATGGTCATTTTCCTTCCATGTCTCTGTCCAGATTTCTTTCTTCTTATAAGGATACTACTTATACCGGATCAATGGCCCACCCTACTCTTGTATGACCTCATCTGAGCTAATTACATCTGCAAAGACCCTGTTCTCAAATACTGTCACTTTCTGAGGTATTGGGGGTTAGGACATATCTTTTTTGGGGACACAATTCAACCCATAACAGTCTGTCTCTGCCCTGCCTCTAAGTTCATGTCCCTCCCATGTACAAAATATAGTCACCTGATCCTGATATCTCCAAAAGTTTTGACCCATTTTGACATCAACTCCAATGACCTGAATGTCATTAGATCAAAAAGCCCCAAATCTCATCATCTAAATTGTCTTAAATAGTTATGGATGAGACTCATACTATTGTTCATTTCAGGGTAAAATTCTTCTCCATCTGGGGACCTGTGAAACCAGGAAACAAGCTATCTACTTCTAAGACATAACTGGTGGGACAGGCATATGATAGATATTCCCATTCCAGAAGGGAGATATAAGGAGGAAAGAAGGTGTCATGGGCCCCAAGCAAGCCCAAAACCCAACAGGGCAATTGTTTAGATTTCAAGGCTTGAGAATAATCCTGTGTGGCACCATGCTCAGGGCCTGCTGAGGAGGTGGCCTCACCCTTGCTGTGGTCCCCCTCTTTAGGCTATTCTTATCTCAGCCTGTAGCATATTAAAGATGTAGTATTTGTGACTTGAAATATGTTTCTTTTTCCTATTTAATTTTTGGTTTTCTTTTTTATTATTTTATTTTATTTTTTCAAAAGATTTTATTTATTTATTTGAGAGAGAGAGAGAGAGAGCACAAGTGAGGGGAGGGGCAGAGGGAGAAGGAGAAGCAGACTCCCCACTGAGCAGGGAGCCCAGGACCCTGGGATCGTGACCCCAGCCAAGCAAAGGCAGACACTTAACAGATTGAACCATCCAGGCACCCCTCTTGGTTTTCTTCTTTTGCTTTTGTAACTGATGTACTAATTCTATACTTTATGCCATTGTCTGGTGGTTTTTGTGCTTATTATCTATTTATTTTTTATGCTCATTCATTTAATCTGTGATTTCTTTTTACACATTGGGCAAGTAGAGCCCATTACTATTTTCTTTGAAATGGAGAGCTCATTGATTTAATGTTACTTTATTAAATTTCACCTTTTCCATATTGACTGGTAAACTGATCTCCCATAAAATAATATTTTTTTGCCTATAATAGGATGTATTTCTCAACTCTCTGTTCTTTGATCAATTTTTCTTTTAGTGTATAAATACTCTGCCATTTTTTATTATAATAGTCTACTCATATATTTTCATTTCTGGTGCAGCAAGTTGTCTGGCCCTCCCCAACCATTATGTGGCTTCCAGACTTTCTTGGCACTTTTCACACAATCTTTTTTTCCCATCCATACACATTTTACAGTAGTTTTATTGCATTCCCTCCCAAACCTTTGTTGGGATTCTAAACGGAATTGCATCACATTTATGTATTAATTTGCAGAATCTTGCAATTTTATGATATTGTGAATTTGCATTCAAGAATGTAGTTTCTCAAGGTATTCAGTTCCTTTTTACAGCCCTCATTATGTTTTTACAGTTTTTGTTGTTATTTTGATTGGGTTATTTATTGTTTTTTTCTACTTCAATATCTAAGTGGTGATTTCTAGTATAAAGAAAATGTATTGAAAGCCTGGATGGCTCAGATGGTTAAGGGTATAACTCTTGACTTCGGCTCAGGTCATGATCTCAGGGCCATGAGATTAAGCCCCACTTCGGGCTCTGCACTGGGCCTGGAGTCTGCCTAAGATTCTCTCTCCCCCTCCCTCTCTAAAAAAAAAAATGTATTAATTGTCTATGTTTTTCTTTTACCCAGATACTTTCCTACTGTTTTGTTTCAGTAGTTTTTAGCTGAGTCTTTGGAGTTTTCTAGGTATCTTATCACTTTATCTTCACATAATGATAGCTCTGATCTCTCTCTGAGGTTTCTAGTGTTTCTTTAGTTGGACTAAAAGTGATTTTTAAATATTCCCATGGCAAAAATTTGGAGGAGATATAGCTTGCTTTTATATTTCTATGCCAAAGATGGTGGTCAAATTTCGTTGTTCTTCCATACCTTGCCCACTGCAACATACATCATTTACCATAGTTTTTTCATTTATATCTAAAATTTGGATCCAGTTGTTATTAAACTTGGTACTTACATGTGTCCAAACGTATTCGTTGGTGTCTGCATGATACGTGAAACATGCAATGCTTAATATTATTGTACCAACTATAGAAAAGCAGACACTTAAGATGTTCATAACAAGGCTATAAATAAGCTGCAAAGACAAACAAAGAAAACTGGTCATGGGCAGTATAAGCAGGGTTTGATGAAGCAATCAGTCTGTTGTCCACTCTAGAACATTCAAACTGGACATTTTTTATCTGATTCTCTGGAATCTTATTGACGTTGATATCAGGACTCTGCCTCAAATTTGTCTGGAACCCAACAAGATAAAGAAGTTTTTTCAGATGAGGTGTTTATTTATTCAACAAATAATTAAACAGTGCTGCAACATGCTAAACATTGTGTTAGGGATAAACTCAGGCTTCTACTCAAGCATCTCACAATCAAATGGGGGAGACAAGATGACAAACAGTTTCATTTAATAAAATTTCATAAACATCATGCTATGAATAAGCCTCAGGTCCAGGATTTGCCAGTGTCATTCCTACCCCAGTCAGGTCACCTTAGTACTTAATACCTTTCCATAGTTCCCAACTTCCCTCAAGATAGCATCCACTCTCTTTAAAATGGCACTGTGGACCTTGCATGACCTGTGCAGAGAAACTCTTCCCCTTTGAAAAGGGGCTCCAGGGTTTTATATATATGCATAAGGAATAGTTACGTTTTAAAGAGGATTTTTTTTTAATAATGGGAAGAAGGAGGTGATTTGATGCTGGTCAACCAAAGAAAGAACTTAAGTGGGCATACTAATTTTTGATTGTCTAGAAGGCAGTCCCCTTTCATTCCAGGTGCTCTCCTCACTGGTTTAGTCTTTTTTTTTTTTTAAATTTAAATTCAATTAGCCAACATATAGAACAACATTCTATATGTTTTTGATGTAGTGTTCAATGATTCATTATTTGCGTATAACACCCAGTGCTCATCAAATCAAGTTTAGTCTTTATGAAAGAAGTTTATCAGACTTTACCTCGACAGCCAGAAGAGAAAGGACCTACCTCCCTTTCTTCAATCTGTAGGAGGCAGATCCAGGGCATTGCCAGTGAAATGCTCCTCCTAAGGGTTGTGAATCTTGAGCAAGTAACTTAAAGATGAACAAAAGACTGGAATTCATTCTTAGAACTGGCAGCTGGGATGTCATGCAGTGGGGACAGTGGGACCCTTGGGTGCTAGACAGAAGGTATGATGTCTAGTGAAGGTAACAATATGGCCAGATTCTCCTTGCTAAAAAAACATAGCTATTGCACTTCTGGACTTTCTGTTCCTGCTTCTGGAACTTTCTCAGATCCCATGTATTTTCTAAGCTTCGTCCTTCACATCCTACATGCTATGACCCTGGCTTCTTTCCAGTAGATCCTATCTTCCCTTGATATAGCCAGATTCAGTTCACAGCAGTGGACAAAATTGAGAAAATGTATTATGGAAGAAAGAACAGTGTATACGAAATTTCAGAAGCATAGGAAAGCAGGTCATTTTCAGGGAAATGAAGCTTTCGGTGTGGCTGGAACACAGGGCATAAAGGGAAGTTGGATAAAATGTATCTGGAGAAGTGGGCAGAGGATGGATTATGAGGACTCTAGTATGCTGTGCTAAGGATTTCAATTTTATCTTTTTGAAGTGTAGAGCTATACTGCTGAATGTGTTGGCTAGAAAGACTCTTCCTTAGTACAAAGATAGGTTGTGGTACACACCAGCAAACACACTTACAATGTCTCTGCATGCCCTATGACCATTTATGAGGTCAGAGAGGCTTATGAACCAGGATCACCTATAGAAAGACATTTACGTTCCAAAAAAATCCTAATCAAACATTTTTTTCATTTTTTTTAATTTAAATTCAATTAGCCAACGTATCATACATCATCAGTTTCAGATGTAGAGTTCAGTAATTCATCAGTTGTATATAACAGTGCTCATCACATCACATGCCCTCTTTAATGCCCATCACCAATTACCCCATTCCCCCCACCCACCTCCCCTCCAGCAACCTATAGTTATTTGTTTCCTATAGTACGAGTCTCTCATGATTTGTCTCCCTCTCTGATGACTTCCCATTCAGTTTTCCCTCCCTTCCCCTACGATCCTCTGTGCTGTTTCTTATACTCCACATATAAGTCAAGCATTTGAATTAAATATGCAATGTTACTATTTTTGAAGCGTTCTGCTTTTGTCATGAGAGTGTGAGGAACTCCATGGATCAACTCAGCCAAATTAGTGACAATTACTAAAAAAAACCCCAACATTTAAAATTTCTGGAAACAGTCCTAATGGCCTATGACAAATGAAGAAACATCTATTCAAGAAATCTACAAAAGCTCTGTCAAAACTGTAGGAGTCTGTGGTATCTGAACCAAGATCCACACCCTTGCCAGTGTGCAAGACCAGTCTGGGTTGATGAGGGATCCTTCCCCGTCAGATTCCGCTCAGAGAACTAGCTAGTGCTATCTCCCTTGGAGGAGCAGGTCATCTAATGAGCATTTCTAATCCTGCTTCCAGCTACTTGCAACTGAGGCTAAGTTGCAGTGAGTGCAGCCAAGCGAGGGGGACTCTCTTCTTTTGCCTAGCCCCCACCTGTGGGATGAGGGCCTGATCTTGGTTGCAGTGCCAGTGAAAGTACTAGATGCCCTGATCACCCCTGCCCTTTTTTATGGGGTAGGGGTTCTATATCATGAGAGCCAAACAGAGACCTGGGGCAGCTCCAAGCCCTCAGCTATTAAAGTAGGGGTGTCACTCAGAGAGAAGCACTCCATTGTCCCTGTGCCATTCCCCCCACCCCCCGCCATCCTAGCACCAGAGCTCTGGCTCAGAGAATTTTTCTGGGGGAGAAGTAGACATCTTGGGGTGACTGTGGGTATACCTAAAAGGTATACCTGTGCACCTGCCCCTGAGGAGGAATTTAACACTGAGGGGGAGAAATAGACTTCACTAAATTATTTCAGCCAGCCTTTTAAAAAAAAAATCAAATAACAATAAGAGCCCTACGGATGCCTGGGTGGCTTAGCCGTTTAAGCAGTTAAGCCTCTGCCTTCGGCTCAGGTCATGATCCCAGGGTCCTGGGGTCCAGTCCCATATTGGGCTTCCAGCTTAGTGGGGAGCCTGCTTCTCCCTCTCCCGCTCCCCCTGCTCTCTCTCTCAAATAAATAAATAAAATCTTAAAAAAAAACAATAATAAGCCCTAGGGTCGAGAACTAGTGCCCAGAGTTGCTACAATATATTATTTAAAATGCCTAGTTTGCAACAACAACAAATTTGTGAGACAGGCAAAGAAACAGAAGCGTATATACAGCTATATACCAGAAAAAAAAAAACAGGCAACAGAAACTGTGAGAGTGGCCAGATGTAATCTTTATTAGACAAAGATTTCAAAGTAGTCATTATAAAGATGGCCAGAGAACTAAAGGAAATGATTAAGCAAGTAAAGGAAGGTCCGTTGACAATGTTGATGTTGACTACAGGACAAAATTGTTAGATATGGCAACAAGTTAGATAACCCATAGGAAATGGACAAATTCCTAGCAGGGTAAACTATTGCAACAGACCCAAGAAGAAATAGAAAATCTGAATAGATCTATAATAAATTAAGAGATTTGAATTAATAATAAAAAACCTTCCGTGAAGAAAAAACCCAGTTCCAGGGGCACCTGGGTGGCTCAGTTGGGTAAGCATCTGCCTTCGGCTTAGGTCATGATCTCAGGGTACTGGAATAGAGCCCCACATTGGGCTCCCTGCTCAGCGGGGAGTCTGCTTCTCCCTCTCCCTCCACCTCTCCCCTCACTCATGCTCTCTCTCTCAAATAAATAAATAAAATCTCAAAAAAAAAAAAGAAAAAGAAAAAGCCCAGTTCCAGATGACTTCAATGGTCTCTTCTACCATATATCTAAAGAAGAATTAATATCAATTCTTCACAAACTCTTCCAAAAATAGAATAGGAGGGTACACTTCCTAACTCATTCTATGAGGCCACTATTACCCTGATACCATAACCTGACCAAGGCATCACAACAGCAACAACAAAACTGTACACAAATATCTCTTATGAACATGGATGCAAAAACCTTCAGCAAAATGCTAACAAACCTAATCCAGCAGCATATAAAAAGCATTATACACCACAACCAAATGGGATTTATTCCACCAATGCAAGGCCAGTTTAATTTCCAAAAATCAATTAATGTAATACACCATAATAAAATAAAAAGCAACTCATGATCATCTCAATAAATGCAGAAAAACCATTTGACAAAAATCCAAGACACTTCCATGATTAAACACTCAAGAAACTAGAATAGGTGGCACCTTCCTCAACCTGGGAAGGTTATCTATGAAAAACCCATAGCAAACATACTTATTGGTTTGCTTACTTACTGCATACTCACTGAAAGCTTTCCTCCTAAGATGAGAAAAAAACAAGAATGTTTGCTCTCATAACTTCTACTCAGCATTCTATTAGTGGTTCTAGCCAGGGCAGTTAGACAATAAAAAGAAACAAAAGTCATCCAGATTGGTCAAGGATCTATTCACAGATTACATGTTCTTCTATACAGAATATTCTAAGGAATACACTGGAAACTATTAGAACTAATAAATGACTTCAGCAAAATGACAAGATTGATGTACAAAAATCAATGGTATTCCTTTACACTGGAAATGAACCATCTGAAGATACAATTAAGAAAACAATTCCATTTACAATAGCATCAAAAAGAATAAAATATTTAGGAATAAATTTAATAAAAGAAGTCCAAGACTTATACCCTGAAAACTAAAAAACATTTGTGAAAGAGTAATGAAAATATATCCATGTTCATATGGATGTGAAGATTTAATACTGTTAAGATCAATACTCCCCAAATTGACTTGCAGATTCAGTGTGATCCCTCTTAGAATCCCAGCTGTTTTTCCTTACAGAAATTGATAAGCTGATCCTAAAATTCATAGGCATTGAAAGAGACTCAGAATAGTAAATGAAAATCTTGAAAAAGAAGAGCAAAAATTGAAGGACTCCACTTTCTGATTTCAAATTGTACTACAAAGTAATCAAAACTTTGTGGTACTGGTGTTAAGAATAGACATTTAGACCAATGAAATAGAATTCCAAGTCCAGAAACAAACTCACAAGGGTGCCAAGACAATGTAATGGGGGAGAAATAGTCTTCTCAAAAATGTTGCTGGGACAACTGGATATTGACATGCAAAAAATGAAATAGGGCCCTTACATTACATCATCAACAAAAATTAACTCAAAATGGATCAAAGACCTAAATATAAGAACTGAAACTATAAAATGCTTATAAGAAAACGGGCATTAATCTTTGTGTCTTTGGTTTTTGCAATGGACTCTTAAACATGACATCAAAAGCAAGAACATCAAAAGAAAAATAGATAAGTTAGAGCTTCAACAAAATTAAAGCTTCTGGGCTTCAAAGGACACTACTCAGAAAGTGAAAATACAATCCACAGAATGGAAAAACATTTGCAAATCATATATCTGATAAGGGCTTGTATCTAGAATACATAAAAACTCTTATGACTGAATAATAAAAAAAGGCTAATAACTAATTTTAAGACGGGCAAAAGATTTGAACAGACATTTCTCCAAAGAAGACATGCAAATGGTCAATAGCATATGAAAAGATGCATGACATCAGTAGTCATCAGGGCTATGCATATCCATACCACAGTGAGATGCTACTTCCCACCCACTAGGATGGCTATCATCAGAGTTAGGTAATAAGTGTTGGTGAGGATATGGAGAAATAGAAAGCCTCACACACTGCTGGTGGGAATACAAAATGACATCATTCAAAGTAGTCACTTTGAAAACCTAGTTTGTCATTTCCTCCAATGGTTGAACAGAGTTACCATACAACTCTGTAATTCCACTCCTCCTTATATACTACAAAGAATTAAAAACATATGTTCAAATAAAATGTTGCACACAAGTATTTATAACAGCACTATTCATGATGGCTAAAGGTGGAATCAACCCAAAATGTTCAGGAATGGATAAACAAAATGTAGCATAGCTGTACCATGGAATATTATTTAGCCGTAGAAAGGCTGAAGTTCTGATATAATACACTACAATATCGATGAACCTTGAAAACATTATGCTAAGTGAAAGAAGCCGTTCATAAAAAAATTACATTTTGTATGATCGCCTTTTTTATGATTGCTTTTAAAATAAAATGTCCAGAATAGACAAATCTACGGTGACAGAACATAGGTTAGTGGTTTCCTTGGGCTGGGGAGAATGGGGGAGTGTGGTATGGGGAGCAGTAGCTAAATGGTACATGGTTACTTCTTGGGGTATTGAAAATGTTCTAAAATTGACCGTGGTGATAGTCGCACATATCTGTGAATACACTAAAAAAAAAAAAAACTGAATTGTACACTTAAAAAAACCAGAATTGATTAAGATGGTATATATTTACCTAGGCAGCTACGGATTTTTCCAGGTTAATGGAAATGAAAATAAATAGGTATGTTTTCAGAAAATAAAAGTTGTTGAATTCAAATATCTGGACCTGAATAAGGGGGCCATGTAATGCATTTCATTTAAAAAAATAATTTTAAAAATGTTCATGCAGAAGACATATACCCTACATTCTTTTTTCTGCTTTAAATCGGCGGTCTCCTCACCAGAACATGCCAGACGTGCTTTCACTCTATGGCTTTTCCAACGGCTGATCCCTTTGCTGGGAATCCTTGTTCCATCTGCTATCTGCATGGCTAACTTTCTCCCTCTGGCTTTGTTCCAATGCCTCCTACTTAATAAGACTTACTTGGATAATCTTACTTAAACAGCCCCAGTGGCAGCCCCTTTCATCTTTTCTTTTTTCCCATGCGAGTTATCACCTTGTAAAGCACATTGTATTATTTCCTTATTTGTCATGTTTATTGTCTTTATTCCCCTTTTAGGATATAAGCTTCACGAGGGTAATCAATCTTTGTCTGTGTGTTCACTCATACATTCTACACACCCAGAACGTGCCTGAAACTCAGAAAATATTTTTGATTGAATTGTTGGAATTTGAGCACCCTATATTAGGTGTGTTAGGTACATTATGGTACCTAAATATAACAGAATATTGTGTTGCCACTAGAACATTTTTTCCAAAGCATTTTTTTCATGACTTGATAAATAATTATTTGATTTCTCCTTGTGAAGTTGAGCCACATTAGCTTGGGAAATTCCTTGACAATATCCCTGAGGTAGAAGAGTCTGTGTTTCTGTGAGGAGTGATGTACTTATATCCCTGGGGAAAAAGCAATACTGGGTAACATTTGGGTCACATGTATACCCTGGAAATGCATTAAAAAGCTTAGCAAAAGCATAGGATAAAAACAATGTTAACAGTGGTAGATATTTAAAAAAAAGGTATAAAAACTTAATGCCTAAAGTTATAACCACCAAGCTGCTGCTGAGCAAAATAGCCTCCTGTATCTCTTTGACCCCATCCTTTTGGGAGGTGGGGGGAAAGTAAGCAGACCTTTCACTGAATTATGAAACCGTATTTCTTCAGTTTCTTTCACCAGTCCCTGAAAGCCACCTTGTCTTCCTTGGTAGGTTTTGGTTAGTGGAGCTAACATTTATTGAGTGCTCACTGTGTGCCAGGGGCTGCTGTTTATTTGCTCATTTAATCCTCACAATCGGTGGAGGTCAGGGAAGGAGGAGCCACGTGTTTTTCAAATGAGGAGAGAAGCACAGAGCAAAAAAGTTAACTTGCCCGAGGTTCACACAGTTAGTAGTAGGGTGGTCAGAATTTGAATTCAGGCAATGGACCTCTAGAACTGTGATCCTAACCACAGTGGGAGAAGTTCTAAAGGAAAATGTGACTCTTCTGCTGGATGTATTTTAGTAATACCTGATCTCTATTCCCATGATATTCTCTAGCCCTGGGTTTGCTGAAGGCAATTCTCTTTTCACACATTATTTTGTCTTATGCCGTTCATAATGAAACACTGATATACTAAACTTGCTCCACCTGCCTTTCCTCCCTTCTCAGGTCTGTTTTATTTGGTTATATATACCCCTTTAGATAGTTGAGATGATTTATTCCATCAAAATCCTCACACCTGATACCTTATAAACCTTGTTCTTCACACTGCATCCTCAACAACATCCATACTTAAAATATGCATTGAGTGCATCCCTGTAAAAATTGACTTCTTTCCTATCCAAATATTTGGAAAAGTTTTATCACCCCAAAAAAGCTGGCTCAGAAGTAATATTTTCTTCTCCTCAGTTTATGCCAGGCAATCTTTTTATCTTTGGCATTGCTCCCAACCATTTCAACATACCTTGTATTTTGTGGGACGCTTCTGTGCTCCTATGATGGTGGATCCCGAGGAGATGAACTGGGGATAGAAACAGTCACTTGTAAACACCCACTCCTGTTGATAGTCCCCTAAACAAGTACTTTTGCAATGCCAATGACATTCTTGAGATCTAAAGTATCACAGAATTCTCAGAAGAAAAAGGTTTTAATTACTTCAGTTCTGAGATGCAACCACTAGTAGACGCTCTAGAAAATGGATTCACTATTTCTCTGTTATAGTTGATACAGAGATGAGAAAACATTTTTAACCTCTTTGGTCGTTAAGGAGCTTTCTTGTTGGTGATGGGACTTAGCAATCTCACAATGACTTTAGGAGGAATGAGCAGTAGGTAGTTCACTTCTTTGGGCTGTCATTTATTAAGCTCATGATATAAATTATTAGTAAGTAATCCCTACTAGCCAGTGGGGCAGCTCTCACTTGCAAGAACTTTCCCCCCTAATCCTGTAAAAGGAAATAGTTTCAGAACTCATTTGATCTGAAGAGTGACAGGTTGTCTCCCACAAACATCATGTCCTGAGTGCTAACATCTTCTGCTGGTAGCAGTTGAAAGAATTGTTGTTTCTGATATATCAGGAACTTAATCATTTTCCCCAGGGGTATACCTTATGCCTGCCTTCAAACTGCCCATAGCACTAACAAAAGATGACTCATCTGAAGGGGACTGGGAATCTTGCAGTCCAGGAAAATGAGTTCCTGTCCTGGAAGCAAAAGCACCTTAGTCTGACACTTTACTTCTGGGTCACTCTGTAGAAGTTACGTACGTTTTCTAAGTCTTGGTTTCCTAATCTGTAAAATGGGAATCAATAATAGCAATCATGGAGTTGCTGGGACAATTGTATAAAACAGACCTGAAGCACTTTTGGAAGGTGCCCAATACACCCTAGTATGAAATTGAATAATTACTAGTTGTGGTTACTTTCTGCTGTGAGCTTCTTTTCTATATCTTGGACCTAGGATCCTTTCTGGGGGCCTTGTAATGGGTGATTCATTGTACTCTTTCAGCTTAAAGCATTTCTCTTTATGACCTACAATTCTTTCCCGAAGTTTCTTAGTGTTGGTAAAAGCCCTCAACTTGAGGACTCATGCTGTAGGAAAGTCTCTAAGGAAATGTCTCCCATCCAGAGCACTTATTACTATGTGTCAGAGCCCTTTCACAAAAAGTTATTACATTCAAATCTTCTCTCCCTGAAGCCCTGTTTTTGGTTGAGGAGTGCAAAAGGATGGGTAAGGAGCTCATAAAACCCTTTCTCCTCCAAGGGGAAATTTGGCTTTGGGTTAACTTTCTTGCTCTGTTCAGTTGGACACTTGATACAATTGGAGTATCAGTTGTGTTACTACATCATGTTGCTTATGAATATAATGACCCCTGATGGATAATTTCCTTCTGGATTGGATGTAACTGTGAGCAAATAATAACTTGTGGGAAGCCATGGCTTTGGGCTTCCCTGAGTGTAGTGCCTTATAATTGGGCATGTCCCTATTGGGCACCTCAGCAACTATGCCTATGGAATTATTACAATATCGTTACTCAAAATACCCACTTTAGAAATCTTGGTTTCATTTCCCCAAATTCCTGTTTGCCCTTCTATGTCTTTTCTTTTGTCTTTCCTTATGTAACCTCTCTAAAAATCACTACTATAGCCCCAGACATTAAGCTCAGTCAGGCCTTTGGGTTTTCACTCTGGAAAAAAAAAAAAAAAAAGAAAAAGAAAAGAGAAAAAAAAGCCTTGTAGTTATCCAGATAGCCACTCTCTTTATTGCTCTTCAAGCTCTCAAAATCTCATCTGCATGCACACCTCACTTTCTCAAGGAACTCATCAAAACATTCAACAAACATAAAAAGACTTTTCCTAAGTATATACGCTCCACCCCCACCCACCATTTTGTTAAGGCTGTTTCCATAGCAAAATGAGCTCCATAGAGTCAGACACTGGGTCTTTACCCATTGCTTGATTTCTTGAGTAGTTTACTGGACAAATTAAAAAAAATATATTAAAATCAATAGCATCACGGTTTACTCACAAATGGCAATGACCAAAATATGTAAGTTAGTGTAACCACGACAGGGATATAACCAGTATGTTTTCTCTCCTCTTCTTCGAGAAATAATGCAAAACAGAGAAACCCCAATGCACTGTAAATCAGGCCGTTCATGATTTGCACAGCCTGTGAGAAGAGAGAGCCATCATTATTACTCAAGTAAATGAGTACAATATGGAGACTGAAACATCATGGCAATATCCAGCTTATCCTGGTATTTCTGAAGTAGCAATGAAAGAACTACACGTCGGGGAAGAACCAAGATGGATAAAGAGAGGGCAGCCACAAATGGATGGTGAGGTGTCCACATTTATTTAAACAGGGAATATGTGCTTTTGTTTCATGGACATCCTCAGAGATATTTAATATCTAATTTTCCAGTTGGCTCTGGTTAAATAAAAAACAGAGGCCTATTTGTCTGGTTCAGGAGGACACATGACCCGAAGGAGGGCTATTGACCTTGAGGCTCACTCAGGCTCTGTCTTGACATCCCTCTCTTCATACCTTTGGATCTGTGAGATCAACTCTGGCTGGCAGGTGAGTTCTTGTTTTCTACCACTAACCCAAAAAGGTAATTTTGGACCTTGCCTTCATTCTTCATCCTCTCTTGTCTGAGAGTTGAGCAGTCTGAGAGACTGCTCTGTCCAGTCTCATTTTCTGTGCTGACTTTTGTAACTATCCTCTGGACCAGAGCCCTAGGCTTTGCTCAAAAAAGCATGAAGGTAGACTCTCCAATGACCCCTGACTCTATAATTCTTATGTGGAGTATTCTCAGGGGCCTTGTGTGGAGGCAGGCCTTACTCTCCAGATGGTGTAGAGCCATGGACACACACCAGTCACAAGGGTGCCTGCAACTACCGAAGCGGGCAGGAGAAGGTCAGTCTTTTGTTCTAGCCAGGCCTTCACCTGATTAGATGAGGCACATCCACATTATGGAAGGCAATCTGCCTTACTCAGAGTTCACTAATTTAAAAGTTAATCTCCTCTAAAAACATCTTCACAGGAGGGGGTAGGGAGATGGGCAAAATGGACCAAAGGGAATGGGAGATAAAGGCCTCCAGTTATGGATGAATAAGTCACAGGAATAAAAGGTACAGCATAGGGAATACAGTCAATGGTATTATAACAGTGTTGCATGGTGACAGGGGGTAGCTCCATTTGCAGTGAGAATAGCATAAGGTCTAGACTTGTCCAGTCACTACGTTGAACACTTGAGACTAATGTAACATTGTGTGTCAACTGTACTTCAATAAAAATAAATAAATAAAAAAATAAAGTATTGTATGGTGATTAACATAACATAATAAATAAAATTTAAAAAATAAAGACACATTCACAGAAATACCCCAAATAATATGACCAATTATCTGGGCACCTTGTGGCCCAAGTAAGTTGACCCATAAAATTAATTGTCACAGAAAAGTCAAGAAGTGGCTATTGGGTGATGAGACTCCTCTCCCTTGAAGTTTACACTGAGACAACAAAAAAGCATGCATTTATTGGTTACTCATGACTTGTTCTGGCACATGGGGAATGGCCATTTGGGATGGGATCAAATGAACTTGCCCACTATTGTCACATTCTTCAGAATCAACCCCTTTCTGGGCCATGAATCCACTGACTTACTCTGAGTTCAGTGGAGGACTCAGGAGGGTTTAGTAGGAGGAACTCAGTAGAAGATCCTAAACCCTTCATCCTCTCTGAGGTGGCGGATCTTACTGGTAGGCCAGTGGATGGCCTGTGACAGGCCTACCCTTTCTCACACACATTGCCATGACTGCTGTCCAGGCCAGATAAAGAGACAAGGAGCAAGCAATCAGCTGTAAAACACCATGGTGCTGGGGGATGAGGTAGAGAAAGCCCAGTGTCCTGCCCCTGCTATACATGAGGCTTTGTCGCATTAAGTTGTGCCTTGCATTCTAGCAATGGGCCAAATAACCACCAGCCAGCTGGAGATAATCATAGACTTGTTATACTGGGAATTTTCCAAGGACAAGTTTTAGTTTTGCTGGCTTATACCGAAGTGTGTTTTGAGCCCCCACAAATATTAGTGGTTAATACAAAAGGGTACAGCATTCTAAGGTTTAAGAGAGGTGAGAGGGAGAACATTGATATGGAATATGACCTCAGAGCTAAATATAGGGGGAGCATGTTTTGAGCCCAGTGTTATCAAATGGCCATTGGCCACAGAGCCCCAGTGTCTCCAGCCCCTTCTGGTTTTGGCTCCATCGCCTGAGCCTGACCATCTCATTTATGATCTATAAGCTTGTTTCAAACTGTTTACAAACAAAGGCAGAAAATGGGCCTTCTCATTGCTTATGAGATTCATAACCAGTCTCAGAGTGTATTTGTTAAAATCCTGGGTAGGTTGTGATGCTATTGAACTATTTAGAAACAGTTTGTGGATCTATAATTTGTGTCCAATTAGCTATGGCCTCAGAATGTTTTAATCAACTTTACTTCCTCGGGGGAGTTGATTGTAGATGTGGCCAATGTCTTCCCTTTTATGTCAGGAAGATGCAATACCCATCATTTATTAACCAAAACAGCACTTAGTTCTTACCCCCAATGCTCTGGTCTCCAATTTCAGGGTATAGCTTCGTGGCATTTTAATTAAGGTATGGTATAGAAATTGTAGAGAATGAATGGCTCCTATTCTGTAGAGAAATACAGAGAAAAGGTGAACTAATTATTTTTGAGGTAAGACACTTAATATTGCAGCCTCTGGTTTTCCACTACTTTCCTTGAAAGAAAATTGAGTCAACTCACTGATAACTTTCTGTCAAAAACCAGGAACTACTTCTCAGGTTTTATGTTGCCATCATGGTCTTTAAATGAGACTGACTAGTTATCTTTTGCTATAAGTGCCTCAATCTCATTATTTTCACCTTTTTAAAGAATTACCTCCTCCTATAAATCCCTAGGGTCACCCAAGTTTGGGATCCTGGTTGCCATGCTTGGTCTTCACAAGAATATCTCTCAATCTAGCCACAGCTGCTTGGATAAGTTGTGGGCATCTTATTGTAATTGTAATTGAATCATAGTTCCCTTCCCAGGAAATTACATTTAGCACTAAGACAATATAGTCCCAATCTGGGCTTGGAAAGAAGAGTGAAGGAACCCCTCGAGTAAAGAGATGGAGGGAGAATATTACTTTAAGATTCTAATGGTTCTCACTTCCCTGATTCTAGTTGCTTTTTTAGACCTATCTATGAGCCAAATCTTTAAGACAAATTCTTCTTTATTTTAGTTAAAACTAGTGTAAGAGGATATACATCAAGTGAAAATTTTCATAATGTTCCAGAATAAGGAACATATAAGGCTAGGTACTAAAAAAACCTGGGATAAAGGCAGTATTTTGCATCTTAAGTTGATAAAATTGCCAGAGGTTGTGCCTAGTAGCCTTCTCCAAGGGCTTATTGGTAGGTGATGGATGGTTCAGAGAAGTAGTTATGGTCAATTGAATTATTGTCCTCAATTATTGTTTCCCTTTTCTCTGTTATAGAGTTCTACGCCTTCACATGTTGCCTTGTGACTTTCAGTGTCCACCCTCCACTCAATGGAAGGAATATATCTCTATACCTTGCAGATATTGGATGTGACCCTGGACCATGCTTTGACAGATCCAATGTGAGGGACATGACAGACGCCAAGCTTGAACCCAAACCTGATGAGGTATTTTAAGTTTCTATCATTTCCCTCTGTTGTGAGGATATCATTTCCCAGGATTTTGCTGTACTTTAGTGTAAATCCCAGAATGAAGACACATGGAAGCAGGCCCACAGCTGACCTGCAACATCGAACAAAATTCCAGGAGGTGAAAAATTAATATTTGTTCTCATAAGCCTGAAATTTTGTGGTTATTATATCTACTACCCTGGCACCAACAAACACCTCTGGTTTATTAAGAGGAGGAGTGGGGAGAGAAGACAGAATTTTGGGAAATGAAGTGTTGGTAAAGCTACGGGAAGATAGAGAAATCACATTCAGAATAGGGGGTCCTTCAAGACTAACTTTAATTTCTCTGTTGGTGTCTGTTTTCCAGCAGATGCAGTGGCTTGCCCTTGTGTTGGCTAATCAAAGGAAAAGAGAGTTGGAGAGAAATTACATGGAGGGAGTGACTGCTTAAAAAGAGAAGACCAGGGGATGCTTGGGTGGCTCAATGAGTTGGTTAAGCATCTGCCTTTGGCTCAGGTCATGATCCCAGGGTCCTGGGATTGAGCCCCATGTCGGGCTCTCTGCTCAGCAGGGAGTCTGCTTCTCCTCCCTCTGCCTGCTGCTCACCCTGCTTGTGCTCTCTGTCAAATAAATAAATTAAATCTTAAAAAAAAAGAAGGCCAGGGCCAAGCCATCCCTCTACACTGCAGTTGAGGGCATAAAGTTTTAGGAGAAAGATCTCTCTGGTGGCCCTGAGCTGACAGGTGAGATTGCAGCTACAATTTTGCAGAGAATACTCTTAGTATGAGGGGGAAGGATGGCTGGCAAAGACAGCAAAAGAGGGGCTCACTTCCAGGGAATATGGCCGGATTCCATGAATTTAGATGTAATCAATAGAGCAGGGGGTTTTGATAGTCAATAAAGTCTCAAACCATAAGAATATATGTGAACTCAGACCCCTCCAAAATAAGTGTTTCTAGCTTGGTTCCCAAAATTTGCCCAACAGAAGAAGTAGAGCTTTTGCTCACTATTTAATCTCCTATGTAACTCTAGTGCCCACACTTGGTTCTCTGTCTTTTCTTTCACAAGGAATCAGGAGGGTAGTTACTGTAGAAAAGCATAATGTGTATGGACATCCTCTTCTTGAAAGAAAGCAAGGATACTGTTGAGAATGTTAGAGATAGTGCACAAAGGACAAAGAAACCAGGTTAATGGGGCCTTCACTGGCTGAGTTGAGACAATTTGAATAACCGAAAAAGAATAAAAATCATGACGGTTTAAAATGACCTGTCTATGAAAGGCCATGAATTCATCATGATACACAAAAGGGAAAATTTGAAGTGTTAATAAAGGTGATTATAATGCCTACGAAATGTGAACATGTTAGGATGTATTTCATTTTTCATTGATTTGAGAGGTAGGAAAGTGTAAGTATACATATGTGTATTTCTTTTCTTTTTTTAAGATTTTATTTATTTATTTGACAGAGAGAGAGAGCACAAGCAGGGGGAGCAGCAGGCAGAGGGAGAGGGAGAAGCAGGCTCCCCGAGGAGCAGGGAGCCTGATGTGGGGCTCAATCCCAGGACCCCGGGGTTTATGACTTGAGCCGAAGGCAGTGGCTTAACCAACTGAGCCACCCAGGCACCCCACATATGTGTATTTCATTTCTCCTCCTAAGTGGATATCCATTTGTAAAGCACAAATAAGTGTATAAAGATATAGATATTTACATGAATAAATATGAAAGATGGACTTGAATATTATGAGTAAGCTCTATGGTCCACTGGTGGCTATTTCTGGTATAAGGGGCAGGCAAGAGTTGATTAGCACCACAAGTTTCATTCATTTCCCAGGTAGAAAAGATGGGCAGTGATTAGCACTGAATGTTATTTACAAACAATCACTAATTTAAGGATAGGTCCACACTACATTTCAAGATGATCAATTAGCCAAATGTCCCACAGAAGAGAATTAACTGCTCAGACTCAGTCTATGATCACTTATTCAATGTAAACCCCATTATACTGAAGGTTTAAGGGGGCATTCATGCATTTCCAATTATTCTAGTTAGCTAGGTCAGTATATTGTAATGGTGGGATAAAGGAGTAAGTAGGAGGTGATGGCAAGGCAAAACTGAAAACCTTTCTTATTAATGTGAGAGGCAAGGAACTAAAAGTCCTGTAATATAACAGAGATTCACTTTCCAAAGAGACTCAGTTTGATGACCAGTGCTCAAATACAAGTAACTTTGGGCTGCTGAACCAGGTCCTAAAACTCCACCAACAATCCATGGATCTGACAACCCATATACTGCAACCTTGCTTGGAATGAGAAAATGTATTTTTTTGGGGGGGTCTAGTAAGATTATTTGCAACCCGAGTATGTTTAAAAACAGTATCTGGGGGCACCTAGATGGCTCAGTTGGTAGAGCATGTGACTCTTGATCTTGGGGTTATGAGTTTGAGCCCCACATTGGGTATAGAGATTACTAAAATAAAAATTAAAAAAAAAACCAGTATCTGTTTAAACTGCTATTGTTACCCTAGAAAATATAAGGAAAAAGGGAAGCTAAAAATGACAGAGTGCTTACTTAGCCAGGTACTTTTCTATGTTCTATACATGTACTAACTCATAAAGACTACTCATTAACCCTATGAGATAGGTACTCGGAAATGGGCAAATTCCTTGAGACAATCTACCAAGACTGAATCAAGAAGAAAAAGGAAATATAAACAGACTATTAATGAGTAAGGAGATTGAATCAGTAATCAAAAACTTCCCAAAAAAAAGAGTCCAAGACCAAATAGCTTCACTGGTTAATTTTACCAAACATTTAAAGAAGAATACAAATCCTTCATAAATTAAAAAAAAAAAAGGGGGGAAGAGGAAGGAACACTTCCAGACTTTTCCTATGAGCCAGCATTTCCCTATTTCCAGAGCCAGATAAGGACACTATAAGAAAAGAAAATTATGTTCATCCCAGATGAACATAAATGTAAAGCCCTCAACAAAATATTAGCAAACCAAATTCAATAGCACATTAAAGAAATACACCCCATGATCAAGTGGGATTTATCCCTGGGATGCAAGGATGATACAACATATAAAATCGATAAATGTGATACATCACGTTAACCAAATGAAAGATTAAAAAAATCTCAATTGATGCAAAAAAACATTAGACAAAGGTCAACATTCTTTCATGATAATAACTCTCAACAAACTAGGTATGGATGGAATGTATCACAACATAATAAAGACCATATATGACAAGCACATAGCAAATGTATTTAATAGTGAAAAGCTGAAAACTTTTTAGATCAGGAATAAGACGTGGGTGCCCAACCTCATCAATTCTATTTAACATAGTACTAGAAATCCTAGTGAGAGCACTTAGGCAAGGAAAAGAAATAAAAGATATCCGAATTAGGAGGAAGAAGTAGAATCGTCCCTGTTTGCAGATGATATGATCTTATATATAGGAAGATCTAAAGACTCCATCAAAAAACCGTTAAGCTGAAAATGAATTCAGGAAAGTCACAGGATTAAAAATTAACATATAAATATCAGTTGTGTTTGTATACACTGACTACCTGAAAAAAAATAAGAAAACAATCCCACTTACAATAGCATAAAAAAATACTTAGGAATAAATTTAACCAAGAAGGTGAGTGCACTGCCCTCACTACAAATTACAAGATGTTGATGAAAGAAATTTAAGAAGACATGAATAAATGGAAAGATGTCTTATATTCATGAATCATAAGAATTAATATTGTTAAAATTTCCATAATGCCCAAAGCAATCTATAGATTCAGTGCAATTCCTATTAAAATTCCAATGACATTTTTTTCACAGAAACAGAAAAAAACAATCCTAAAATTTGTACGGATCCACAGAAGTCTCTGAATAGCTAAAGCAATATTAAACAAGAAGAGCAAAGCTGGCAGCATCATACTCCATGATATCAAATTATATTACAAAAGTGTAACAATTAAAACATTATGGCATTGGCATAAAAACAGACACATAGATTAAAAGAACAGAATAAAGAGCCTAGAAATAAATCCATGTATATATGGTCAACTAATTTCGACAAAGGTGCCAGGAATACACAATAGGAGAAGAATAATCTCTTCAATAAATGGTTTTGGGAAAATTAAATATTCACATGTAAAAGAATCTTACATCTTATCTTATACCATATTAAAAAAATCAAATCAAAATGGTTGAAAGGTTTAAACATAAGACCCCAAATTGCAACACTTCTAGATGAAAGCATAGGGGAAATATTCCTTGATGTTTGTCTTGGCAATGAGTTTTTTGGGTCTGACACCAAAAGCACAAACAACAAAAGCAAAAATCAACAAGTGGGACTACATCAAATTCAAAAATTTCTGTACAGTAAAGGAAACAATCAATGAAATTAAAAGACAATCTACAGAAAGGGAGAAAATATTTGGAAACCATATATCCAGTAGGGGGTTAATATCCAAAATATATATGGAAACCTTGCAATTCAATAGCAAAAAGCAAATACTCAATTTAAAAAATGGGCAAAGACCTGAACTGATATTTTTCCGAAGAAGACATACAAATGGCAAACAGATATATGAAAAGATATTCAACATCACTAATCATCAGGGAAATGCAAATTGAAACTACACACCACACCTGTTAGTATGTCTCTTATCAAAAAGACAAGAGATAACAAATGTTGGTGAGGATCTGGAAAAAGGCAACTGTTTTGCATTGTTGGTGGGAATGTAAATTAGTTCAGCCTCTATGGAAAACAGTATGTGAGTTCCTCAAAAAATTATAAAAATAGGACTACCACATGACCCGCAATCCCACTTCTGGGTATATATCCAAAGGATATGAAATCACTATCTTGAAGAGATACCTGCACTCCCACGTTCATTTCAGCATTACTCACAAAAGCTAATATAGGAAAACAACCTAAATGTCCTTCAACAGATAAATGGGTAAAGAAGATGTGGTATATACATATACAATGGAATATTATTTAGTCATAAAAAGAAAAAAATCTTGCTATTTGCAACAAAATGGATTTCTCAAAGAACACTCCAGCCATTTCTGATTAGTTTCAGTTTCACCAATAGGCCATATTTTTTTGGTATGTTTATTTCATACTGACCTTTTAACTATAGACTTTAAGCACAGGATATGGCACATTTTAGGAGCTCAATGATTGTTGAATAAGTATATAATACAAACAAATTTCTACATGTTCTTCAAACATAACTGAATTGGCTTTCACTTCATGGTATTTTAGGTGATAGTTCTCAGTATATGATACATGGGCTTATCCATTCATGAAGTCAATTTCTTAAAGAGAAAGAAATTAGAAAAGTGTTTGGTATGTAGTAGGTATACACTAAATATAGCCATGATTATATTATTATTACTGCAGTCCTAAAAAGCAAGCTCAAACTCCAGATAGACTTTCATCAAATTTGGATGGAAAGTCTGGAACAGAATGACTTCAATCTAAGCTATGTGAATATACAAAATTCCCTTTGGGGACCCTGGAGACACACCTCAAGGTGATAAACACTGATCATACAAAATAGCTGAAATCCAAACTCAAGAATATCTCACGTGGAGATTTGAAGCATTAGGATAAAAAGAGAAAACAAACTAGGAGCCCAAATTGGGGGGATGCTGAGAACTGCAGGCCTGGGTTTATAATGGTGCTGCAACTCACAAGGTCACCTTTCCCTCAGGCCATTACTTACTTCAGGTGATAAAAGATTCTCCCGGCAATGCTTGGTAAGCCACCTAGCCGTCTGAATGGGGCTGAATCGCAAGGATGAGCATGGATCTTCTCAACACAAGTATTGTTACCAGTAAAACATTCAGGGTCATCTTTCCCTCAGGCAGTTACTTACTTCAAGTGATATAAGATTCTCCCCGGCAATGCTTGGTAAGCCACCTAGACGTCTGAATGGGGCTGAATCGCGTAGGATGAGCATGGATCTTCTCAACTCAAGTATTGTTACCAGTAAAACATTCCTAGCGATGGGAGAACCCAGGACGAGGCAGTCCAGGGAACCAGGGCCTGGCAACCTCTGATTCAGTGTGACCGGGTCTGGGTCCTAGAGGCAACCCGGCCAAGGCTCCCTACACTGATGTCATACCCTGAGCACAGGGCCAGAGGAGCGTGATTCTGCAGGGTGCGCCCTCAATTCGGGGCCTCTCAGCCCGGGGAGCCAGGTGGGGCGCTGCTTCCTCGGTTGTGGCCCTCATCTCCTGCCTCGTGCGTGTGGTTCCAACGTTGCAGTTGGGGCCAAGAGGGCGGCTGCGGGGGAGGCTGCGCGAGGAGGCCGGTGCAGACCCCTGGGGCGTGGTGAGACCCCGGCAGTTCCGTTGAGCCTACAAGCTCCCCTGATGAGGGTGGGGTAGTGAGTGGGCTAACAGCGACGCCACCCTTAACTGGTTGTGTCAGCATCATACTCTGTCCTTGGATGTGAGAACATCCAGGTGGAAGAGGACATGCTTGATTCTACCCTCTGGCTGGTAACTCTGCAGAGACACCCCTTTGAAGAAGCGACATCATGGAAGCTCCCTGCCACCAACAATCTTCTACATCCCTCCTTCCCCCTAACCCTGGGCAATCAGCTGTTACCAGCCTATAGCACTGTGTCTAGCTCATAGTATGAATGAATGAACTAATGAATGAATGAATGAATGAATGAACCATAGAACCATCCCTTTATTTAAAGATTCTCTTGTATACTCTGGCTCTGCCTAAAAAGTTTAAATGGCTTGCATGGGAGGACTATTAAAAACATAGGTAGGAGTAAGGATTTGTTGTGCTTTGCATATTAATTAGTTAATTAACAGGTATTTATATGCACCTACATGTGTTGATACTCTTCTTGGTACTGGGAATACAGCAGAAAGAAAATATATAAAAACTCCTGACCTCAGTTGAACTTACATTCTAGAGGCCAGTGGACTGATGATAATAAACAAGATCTACAAGTGAAATATATAGTATGTGACCAAAGAAAAGTGCTATGATGTACAATGAAAGAAGAAGAAGAGGGAGGGTGTGAGTGTGTGGTTGCATTTTTAAATGATGCTGGTAGGGGAGGCCTCACTGCAAATGTGATATTTGAGCAAAAATGCGAAGAAGATAGTGGTTAGAGCATTTCAGAAATCTGGAAAAAACAAGTATCAGGCACAGGGAAGAGCTAATGAAGACACAGCCTCACAGGTCTTCTGAAATCAAAGAAGGGTCTGGGAGTGATACCACTGATTCAAACTTTTTAGAAATAGAAACCATAAATCCATTGAAAGCTTTGCCTTTAAGGAATTGAAAATACAAGAGATAGAGATGACAAAATCTGCTAACAAGAGAGGGGCATGTCATTGTGGGAAGTAATAATGATATAGGTGGTCTTTACGGATTGGGGAGACTTGCGGCACATTTTGAAATGATTTTGGAATGAGCCAGTGTAGACTCTGGAATTTCTACATGGGAGGTGCTTGCAGAGACAGAATGGTACAAGAAGATTGGAGGGAGAAGGGAGTGGGCGGGCTACTGGCAGAGCTGTCCTGAATCTCGTTTGCTTATCAACACCTTCCACTTGGTGCTTCTGTCCAAACTCTGTGACTGGTCTGAAGATGGGCATATCCAAAAACCCTTCCTGGAATCTAACAGTTTAGTGGAAAACGGCCTTAGACTTCGCACACTCTTAGATACCCTGGGGTGGATGCAGGGGAGAAAGAGTATAGATTCTTTAAGGGTAGAATAGCTTCCCTAATGCATAATTTTCCAAGAAAAGAAAGGACAGAATGAATGCATGCAGGTAAAGCATTAACCTAGCACACAGTTAATGCCCAATAAGTGGTGTATACACACATATTTTTATTGTTAAACTGAAGAAGTACACATGCAAGACTTGCAGGTTTGGATTCTGGAAAGATAATGGCAGCACAGTAGCCTAGTGTGAAACATAAGACAACATCCTTCTTATCAATTTCATCTCTCTGATTTTAGTCTATTCACTGAAAACTTGTAAGACTGCAACAATCTGTATTGGAAGGAGTTTGGGGAACATGTGTGGGAAGGGATTCTAATTTCACCCACAGTGTCTCTGATAATTAAGGGCCAACAACAACCCTCTGCCACTTTGGGATCTCATAATTCCCACTGAGATCAGGGTACATGAGCCTGTTGCTGCATTACCCACTGCTGTCTCTGGCTTACGAATAATAGCCACCTCAAAACTCTTCAGTATGCCGCTGCTTTTTCACCAATGCATGACTTAATACCTTGGTGAAGGTGGTGCCTTCTGGAACCTCCTAGAGGATGTCATTAGGATGGATTGTTGTATATAATAGCTCCATTGTATGTCCCCATTTTCCTGAATCTTCCGATTCCTTCTTCTAACATATGCAAAGGAAGTTCTAATATGTCAGATGCCATTGACTTGCAAGCCAGGCTCCAGTTAGTAAATGACAGACTACTAAGTCATTCCCAGGTGCTTGAGCTAACACATTATTTTAACTCAGGGATAAGTGCACCCTTTACCAATGAAGTTGACCTAATAAATTCCTATATTTCTGGAATGTTCTCCAGACCCTTACCAAAACATGTCTTTGCAGCCTAAAGGAAACTTATTTAACAGTGAAAACTATAACCTAAACTTACACCAAATATTATATAATATGGGGAAACTTGAGGCTTATTCCTTTTAAGATTGGGAGAATCCAAAGATGTCCACTATTACTGTTATTATTTATCATTGAACTGGCCAATGCTAAAAGAAAAGAATATTAAGTAGTGAAGTTTGGAATGAACATGATTAAATGATATGAAGGATATGACCATTATCTGCCGAAAAGACTATTAGAGCTAAGAAAATAGTTTATCTGGGTGTTCAGATCCAAAATCAGCCTACAAAAACCATTATCATTTTTCTACTCCACTAATAGCCAACTACAAAATGTAATGAGAATAAAACAACATTTATAATAAAAAAGCTATAAAGTTTCCAGAGATTAATTTAACCAAGTGTATATAAAATCTTTATGAAGAAAACTTTAAAACTCAAATAACAGACACAGAAAATGATTAATATGATCTGAATGAAAAGAGAGACATTCCACACTCTTGGATGGGATGACTCAATATTACACAGATGTGAATTCTTCCAAAATTAATATATTTGATGAAAAATTTTTAGTTCAATTTTCTGAGAAACTTGATAAATTAACTCCAAACTTTGTATAAGGAGTAAAGGCTCATGAATACTAAATCTTTAAAAAGTGGAATAAAGTCATTTGTTTTGTTTCTTAAATTCAACATATGAGTGAAATCATATAGTATTTGTCTTTCTCTGACTGAGTTATTTCACTTAGCATTATGCTCTCTAGCTCCATCCATGTTGTTGCAAATGGCAAGATTTAATTTACAAAACAAATGAACAAAGGAAAAAACAGAGAGAGAAAGAAAGACAAACCAAGAAACAGACTTTTTTTTTTTAAGATTTATTTATTTGAGAGAGAGAGAGTGAGTGGGGGAGGGGAGGCAGAGGGAGAGGGAGAAGCAGGCTCCCTGCTGAGCAGGGAGCTCCATACAGGGCTCGATGCCAGGACCCTGAGATTATGACCTGAGCCGAAGGCAGATGCTTAACCAACTAAGCCACCCCGGCACCCCAAGAAACAGACACTTAACTATACAGAACAAACTGATGGTTACCAGCTGGGAGGTGGGTGGAGGGATGGGTGAAACAGGTGAAGGGGATTAAGAGTATACCTATCATGATGAGCACTGAGTAATGTATGGAATTGTTGAATCACTCTATTGTATACCTGAAACTATCCTATATAACACTGTCTGTTAACTATACTGAAATGAAAACAAAAAACCTAATTAAAAAATGAAAAAAAGTAGAAAAAGAAAGGGTGGGCTTGCTGTATTAGTTATTAAGATATATATGTGAGAGATTAATGTATGACAAAGATAATGACAAAAATCAATGGCAAGGGAGGACTTGTTTAGTAGATACTGTTGGGAAAACCATCTTGCTAAATAGAGATAAATAAAATTAGATCACTACCTATCATCACATATTAGAGGGATTCTAGATAGATAAGAGATCTAAATGCACAAGATAACACTCTAAAGTTCATAGAAAGAAATGTAGGAGAATATCATGTGTCCTACATGTATGGAAGGACTTCTGAAATAAAACCATATGGCAAGTAATGAGAATTCAAGTCCATTAAAATATGAGAAAAATGAAAAAGGTAATCACATAAAGAAATGGTCAAAATTCTTGATACTCAGAGAAATTCAAATTGAAAAGTAATGAGACACAACACTTTAGACCTATTAGACTGCCCCAAATTGTAAAGGTGGATGGTTGTGTGAAAGAGGATGTGGAGTTTAGGATTGCTCATGCTCTGCTTGGTGGCAGTATATATACTGTATCAGCTTTTCTAGAATAGCCCTGTTGCACTATTTAAGTAAATTAAACATATGTAAACTATTGAATTACCCTTTCACTCCTAGAAAATTTTCTGTAATAGAAGTATTGATGAATATACAGTGTAGGGTTGTTCTAGGAGGCAGGTCATTGGAAATACCTGGGTGTTCATCACTGAGAATGTGAATATGTAAAGGTGCATTTCATGGAGTAGTATGCATTTAAGATGTACTACTGGCAACATGGATGGATTTTTAAAATATGGTGCTGAGTAACTAAGAGAAGGACATGTTTGTGCACAAGCACACGCGTGTGCCTGCACACACTATACCATTGACATGATTTAAATATATGTACACAGCTCGGAGGAGCAAGATGGCAGAGGAGTAGGAGACCTAAATTTTATCTGGTCCCAGGAATTCAGCTAGATAGTTATCAGACCATTCAGAACACCTACAAACTCAACAGGAGATCAAGAAAAGAATAGCAGCAATTCTCTGAACAGAAAAGTGACCACTTTCTGGAAGGTAGGACGTTCGGAGAAGTGAATCCGAGGTGATATTCGGGAAGATAGACCACGGGGGGAGGGAGCCTCCATCAGCCGCTTCTGGCAAGTGGTAGAGAAGTGGAGCACAAAATCGGACGTTTTAAAAGTTGGCTCCGCTGAGACGTCGATCCAGTGGCTAAGCAGGGGGTGGAACCCCTGCTGGGACAGTGTGGCCTTGGGACCCTCAGGGTCACAGAAAGACCGGGTGTGCCTGAGTGCAGCAGAGCTCCCAGGTATTGGAGCGGGGAAGCCGGCTGCAG